ATCAGTAAAAATAGGGTAATGTAATCGAATATGCTATAGAGAAAAAATAAGCATGCATGTAATTTTAACTTTTATGTAAAATATAAACAGTGAATAGACTATGAAAATTTACCAAATTTATGCAATTTAGATACAGTTGTTTCTACTCATGAGGGAAAAAAAAACAAAAAACAAACAAACAAAAAAACTTGTGGGTGGTTAGCAAAACACAGCATTCCCTGCTGGTTGAGGGTGCTAACAGATGCTTGGATGAAATGTATACTTTAAGTTTAATTACCTAGATAATTGCCATAACTGTTTAGTTGCTTTTCCTATTTAGATCTGTCCCTACAGATAATGTGCAATTAATGAGAATTAGCACTGCCAAATTATTGGGAACATGAGTTATAAAAGTGGGACGCCGTATGGCCCAGATATACTGTGTATGCATTCAACCAGTAATTATCTCTCTGTAACAAACTCTGATAGAGACTACAGCATCGTTCCTTCAGGGCATTTCCAGGAGAGTAGGGCCTTTGAACTTAGGGACTGAGAGGAATATTTCTAGTGGAAGTGACCTGGGATGACTTCCTGCGAAAAGTGGGACTAAATCTACTTTTAAAAATTTTACCTAACAGTAAAATGTACTCTTTGGTGTATAGTGCTATGAGTTTTGATAAATTCATAGAGTCATACACCACCATCACATTCAAGGTACAGGACACTTCATCAGTGACAAAGACTGCCTTGTGCTGTCCCCTTATTTTCAACCCCACTACCCACTCCCACTCTCTGGCAACCACTGTCTCTAGTTTTTTCTTTTCCAGATCATTATATAAACGGAATCATACAGTATGTACAGCCTTTTAAATATGGCTTTTTTCATTCAGCTTCAAACATTCCAAATTCATGCATTTTGTTGCTTATATCAATGGAATGTTATTGATGACTACCGCAGTTCGTTTAACCACTCACCAGTTTGAGGACATATGGTCTGTTCACAGGTTTTGATATCTATCTATGAATAAAGCCAACATAAATATTTGCATGTAGGTTTTTATGTGAACATAAGTTTTCATTTCTCTTGGATAAATATCTAGCAGTGAAATCGCTGGGTCATACTGTAAGTGTATGTTTAACTTTATATGAAACTGCCAGACTGGTTTCCAAAGTGACTGTACATTTTGCAATCCTGTCAACACTTAGCAGAGTTCCTTTGCTCTCCTGCATCATCAAGTTTTTTTGTTGTTTGGTTTTTATTTTCTCATTACTAATTTGTGTTTTTAATTTTGATTTCTCAAATGACACATGATGTTGATGGCCTCTGCCATTTAATTGAGGGTATAAAGATTAGTTAGTTTAATGTGATTATTAATATGGTTGAGTTAAAATCTTATTATTATCATCTTATTATTTTCTTTTCTATTTGTCCCATCTGTTCTTTGTTCCCAGTTTTGTCGTTGTCTGCCTTCTCTTGGATGAATTGAGTAGTTTTAGGATTATGTTTTATTTCCTTTCTGGGTTTATTATTATTGTTATTAACTCTATCATTATTTTGGTGGTTTCTTTGGGGTTCATATTATAATGCTTAATTTATCAGAGTCTACCTCCAAGTGAATTTTATCACTTCACATTTAACATGAGAACCTGAGAGTAGTATAATTCCATTTCTCCCATCCTGGCTTTTGTGCTGTTGTTGGCAGACATATTGCTTGGATATCTGCTAAAAATTCCATAATACAGTATATCATTTTTGTTTAAAGGGTCAATCTATTAAGGAGATATCAATAATTAGGAAAAGTCTTATGTATTTATATATTCACATAGTTACCATTTCTGATATGCTTCTGTTATGCAGATGCATATTTTTATCTGGTGTAATTTACCTTTGGACTAAAAGAGTTCCTTTAAGGTTTATTGTTGGTTTGGTTTGGTTTGGTAGTCTGGGTTTGCTGGTGTGAATTCTTTCAACTTTTATGTGTCTGAAAAATTCTTTGTGATGCCTTGATTTTGAAAAGTAGTTTCTCTGGGTATAGACTTCTAGTTTGACAGGTTTTTTTTTTTTTTTTTTTTTTTTTTTTTTTTTTTTTATTTCAGTTAGTTAAAGATGTTGCTGGACTGTGTTCTACTATGCATTGATCCTAATGACAAATCTATTGCTATCCTTCCTTTGTTCTTGTAAATATAATGTCTTCCCCACCCCCACCCCCCCTGACTGGCTGGTTTTATTATCGCCTTACCATTGATTTTAAGCAGTTTAATTATGACGTGACTTACTTGTAATTTTCTTCATACCTCTTGTGTTTGGTATTTGTTAACCTTTTTTGGACCCATAGTTTTATTGATTTCATCAAATTTCATCTAAAATCATAACTAGTTTTTAAAATACAATTTTTCCATGTCCCCCTCTCTCCTGTGCCTTTGGGGACACTAATTTCAAGTTCATTAGGCTGCTTGAAGTTATCCCACAGCTCACTGATACTCTGTTAATTTTTATATTTAATTTTCTCTATGTATTTTATTTTGAATACTTTTGTTGTTATGTCTTTGAGTTCCTATTCTTTTATTCAGCAATGTTTAATCTGATATTAATCCCATCCAGGGTATTTTTGATCCCAGACATTGTAGTTTTCACCTCTGCAAGTTTGACTAGCATCTTTTTGTATCTCTCATGCCTCTATTTACTATTTGAACATATGAAATAAAGTTATAATAACTCCTTTAATGTCCCCTGCTGATTCTCACATCTGTGCTTTGTTCTGGGTTGGTTCCAATTGGTGACCCTCATATGGGTTCATTTTCCTGCTTCGTTGCATGTTTGGTAATTCTTGATTAGATGATAGATGTTTGTGTATTTTATTATGTTGGGTGCTCTATATTTTTATATTTCTATAAATATTCTTCAGGTTTATTCTGAAGATGCACTTAAGCTCTTATAAACAGGTTGATTTTTTTTCGGGTCCTGTTTTCAAGATTTATTAGGCAGTCCTGGAGTAGTTTAGGGTTAATTACTCCCACTACTGAGGCAAGAACCTCCATATGCCTTCCCCAGTGACCTGTGAAATACTGGCTTTTCCCATCTGGCAGGTGGGAACAGGCACCTGAATTAATGCTGAGAACCTTAAGTAACTTTTAAAAACAGTATGATAAGCTTGGATGTAGTGATTTATTGTACAAAGGCCCTAGGGAGCTTTTTAAAATAAGGAAGTACGTGTATTTTTTGTAATTTGGAATAATACATGGATTTAAGTTTTTAAAAAATGAACTATGTTTGAATTTTAGAGTTTTCTATTACTAGATTTCTTCTGTTATTTTATATAATCAAAGTAATGTATTTATTTCACTAATCTGTGGTAAGTAAAGCATTTGAAATGCAATATTTAGTGTTCTTTTTAAAACTAAACAAGTAAACATATAATAATCTCCCCATGGTAGTTCAATATATAACACAAGTTTTCTTCTAAATTATAGTTTTTAAAAAATTTTATAGGTTGGGGAGTAGGAACTAATAACATAGAATAAATGATGTCAAAATTAGAGTCCTGGCAGAGGAAGTAGACAGGCTTTTCACAATGTAAAAACAAAGAAAATTAATTTTTCTCATACATTTTGATGAAAATTAACTTTTGGTAGGTATTATAAACCTGCCGCAGCTGACTTGTAATGCTTGCAAAGATTTGTAAAATGTAGAATATTTAATTCAAAAATATGCATTTATTATATTACTGATTGAACATACTGTGATATTTTATTGTAGAAAACAAGTAAAACCACACTTGTCTTTATATTATAAATATGTGAATAGAATAATTACTTAATGGTTGAGGTAATTTGCCTATTAATAAGTCTAATGACACACTTGTTCTACTATGACAACTTAGAAATGAGGTAGATCAGGGAGGTCCAGAACAGTGAAGGCACATTCAATGGATAAGCGGTATAGCGGCATAGGTAAAGAATTGGCACAAGTATATATACATTTGTTTGGAGAAGTGGTAAAGTCATTCCTACACCTATTTCTTAATAATGAAGGAAGGTTGATGATCTCTGATAATGTGACAAAAAACTACTTTTGCTAACACCTAAAATTCTTATGATTGAAGTATTATCATTTTATATTCACTGTTATAGCATTAAAATTAAAATTCCAAGGTGCCTTTATTAATTCAAATAGAAGATACTCTAGTATTCTGTTTCAGTTTTCATAATTAAAAATGAATATGTCTATATTTTATTATTTTAATCAAATTTGCAGGCATAGAAAATTGATTTATCTAAAAATGAATAACTTGACTAAAAATGCTGTTGAATATTTTAAAAACTTGTTCAGTGGTGTCTCAAGCAAGCTAGAAGGAGATTGGGAGCAATGTATATCTTGAATTAGAGCAATGCATCTTTTCTTTAGCTCCTTTCCTAAACTTTAACCTATCTTTTCTTATCCTCCTTGATTACCTGTTTTGAAAGTTTTTAAGACATTAATGGGAGATAAAAACTAGACAAGATGCTCGATTCACCACAGTGATTTGACTTTTCAGAAATATTCAAATGCTAAATACACAATCTCTCCAAGACACAGAATTCTTTAGTCATTATTACTTCCATTTTAGCAGGTGGAAAAAAGGAATGATTACATTATTTTGACAGAATTTGTCTATGCAGTTAAGCTCCATTCTTTCATGGTGGCTCTCCCAGTAGAAAAAGTGGCCCAGCCACTAAGAGTTGAGTTCAGGCTTCAGCTATTTCAGTATCCAAAAATATTTCCCATATAAAGTTAGTATCCCAAAGAGGCATCAAGGAGAGAAGAATTTTAAACACAGTTTTTTTCTTTCTCGTAAATATTGTGTCTACTTCATCCCTGTGTAGCCAAGTGAGATGGAATGGAAAGAATGCTATAGGTTTGTCCCTGCATTTGGAAAACTAATTAATTACAGGCATTGAATATTCTAATGTTTATGAGAAAAAAATAAACTTTGCTGCTTTTTATTAATAATTAATTCTCTCTCTCCCTTGCTTTTTCACAGACCACCACTTTGCATATATAATTTTGTTCTTAAAGGAAATGAGGAATTATTTCTCAATCCAAGCACATGCACATCAGGATTTGGTTTGTGATTAAAGAACTTGTAAATGGGGACAATGTAATCAGCATTTCTTTATGAAGGCATTGTTCAATCTGGGATTCACATATTTCTACTTCCTGAATAAATTTTAAAAATAAAAAATATAGAAAAATGTTAAAATGCATATAGTAAAGCATTCTGAATATATTCTAAAAGCTATTTATCTCTGTTTACCTCAATCAAATGTTTATCATTAAATGTTTCCCTTAATTACTTAATAGATAATATATCTTTAGAAAAAAGAGAAGCCTATTGTTTCAATACACTGTCTAAACTATCATTTTCTACTTGTCAAACTGCAGTCATAAAAGAAGTATTTTTAATTGTAAATTTGTCACTTGGAGAAGTCACTTGGATTAATGTAAATTTGGTAAACATAAATACACCTTGTGTTTAGTGATCTATTTGGCATTTAGAGATATATTTGATTTATTTGGCACTGTAAATAAATTTATTTCTGTGGAGCACAGTAATATATGGGTCTGTAATGTTTAAGGTCAGACTTTGGGTCCACCTACTGATGGTGTGAACTTGAGTAGCTAAACTTCATCATGTTTCAGTCACCTAAGAATTTTTGTGAAGATTGAGTCAATATTTTGACTGGTGTCTTTTCAAATTAGTATAATAATAATAAGAAATACATAATGAAAATAATAATAAAAATACTGATAGTTAACACTTACATACATCCCTGTATTGCTACACAGTTTAATAACACATATATCAATTCATTTAATCCTTACAAAAACCCTATGAGATTAACCTCGTTATTTCTGCTGATAAAGACATTGAGGGATTCCTGGGCCTCCACTCTCTCACTTATGTCTGAATACTCCCAAGGTTTGTTTCATGTGTGTTTATAAACCAATATGTCAACTACAGTCACAGTCCGTGTGTTTTGACTTCCTGCTATATTAGTTTGCTACAGCTTCCACAGCAAAATACCACAGAATGGGTGACTTAAACAACATAAATTTATTTTCTCACAGGCATGGAGGCTGGAAGTCTAAGATCCAGGTGTCAGTAGGCTTCATTTATTCTGAGGCCTCTCTCCTTGACATGCAGATGGCTGTCTTCTTGCTGTTTCCCCACATGGTCTTTGTTCTGTGCATGATGTCTCTTCCATGTGTCTGAATTTCCTCTTATGAAGACACCAGTCCAGTTGGATGAGGGTCTACCCTAAAGGACTTATTTAAATTTAATCACTTCTTTGCAGACCCCTAACTCCAAATATAGTCACAGTCTGAGGTGCTGAGGGTTAGGCTTTCAGCATATGAATTTGGCGGTGGTGGGGGTGGCAGTGGAAGGGAGTGGGGTCAGGAGGCACAGTTCAGTCCATAATACCTGCCCTGACTCATTAGCTCCACAATGATGACCTTTGCCTGATAAGCCATTTGAAGATTAATTGGGGTCATTTTTGTTGCCCATCTGGAAAACACTGATGTGTGAAGACTCTTGATGTACTAGATGAGTGTTCCAGGCAGAAACAAGTAGAAGTCTCCTCACTTTTTGTCCAGGGATTTAATCAGTGCAGCCTGTACCTCAGCTGATAGTCCTTTTTGAAAACAGCGCCTTCAGGTTTTGCCTCAGCCTTCACCACACAGGCCTCTGACTCAAGTCTGCAGAGACACCTGTTTGCTCCTTTCTGTCTCTGAGGTGTCTGCTCACAGTCTTAAACAAAACTACAAACCCTAATGTAATTGCTAATCCTCTCTAATTAATTTGCCAGATATTCCCAGCAACTTTTGGATCTGTTTGTGATGGGAATGACATTTAAAATTAAATGTCAATAAATGCACTTCAGATAAATTATGAGGACCAGAAATTCTGTTCCAGTATTCCAGTTGCTTAGGGTTTCTGGATAATAGAGAAACTGATAGCATTTTCATGGCTCCTGTAACCTTTATAATAAAACACTTTGCCACAGGTGATAGACTCTCCCAAGGATAACTTGGAGACACAAGCTTATAAAATGTTTATAGGTTTCCATATTATAATATCTTCCAGGATTCTAATTATTCCCATTTTTTAAAAGATAAAAACAGAGAAGGGAAGAAGGCTGTGACTCCTCTGACCTCAAGTTCATAGTCCTTAAGCAACATTTTTTATCCTACTTTTTTTTTTTAAATTTGTGGAAATCATAGATCAAAAATAAAAGGGGAAAAATGTGCTTTTTGGAGGATTACGGTGAAGCACAGGTATTCTATAGCAATAATCAGGGACAACAAAAGGAACAAATAAGAATTATGCACAAAATATGTTACACCACGATGCTTTGAAGGCATGCTGTTCTGGAACAGATAGAAAAGGAAACAGAGATGAGATGTTTAATTTCTATCTTTCATGATGCTTACTTGGCATGAATCACAGAATCAGACTCAACCCTGTCTTTCAAAGTCCTTTCAACAATGCAGTTTGGTTATTTTTAGGTTAGTTTTAGGATTTATCTAATTAAATAATATATTACAATTTTATTGATGTGTCTTCTTGTGTTTCCATGGAATAATAAATTTTATATTTAAAAAAATCACCAGCAAAGCAACAAATCATACCTTTGTTCCAATAATGGTTGACTGAAATGAGGAGTAAATATAATCCTCGGCAAACTGTATTTTGTTTTAATAAACTACACATTAAAAAAACCAAATTGCATCATTTGCATCGGCTGTAATACCATTCTAATGTATTGGATAATTGTTTAATTTGTGTGTGTGTATGTGTGTGTGTGTGTAGTCAATATAGATAAGGCAAAATTATGTAAGAATACTTAGAAATAGTTTTATTCATAAAGGTGTTGTGAGTCATAAAATTTATGGCCTATGTATTAGTCCTGTTTTTTGCATTATTATAATAATAATAACAAATACATAATGAATACTTACTATGGGACAGTCTGTGATTGATTGATCGATTGATTGATTTTTAGTAATTTCTACACCCAACATGGAGCTTGAGCTCATGCCCTTGATATCAAGAGTCTCATGCTCAGGGCACCTGGGTGGCTCAATTGGTTAAGCGTCCAAATCTTGATTTTGGCTCAGGTCATGATCTCATAGTTTGTGAGTTTAAGCCCTGTGTTGGGCTCTGTGCTGATGGTGCAGAGCCTGCTTGGAATTCTCTTTCTCCCTATCAAAATAAATAAATAAACTTAAAATAAAAGAGTCTCCTGCTCTACCAAATGAGCCACCTAGGTGCCCCACCAGTCTGTGATTTTAGGAAGTCCTTGACTTGCACTGTTTCATTTAATATTGAAAACTACCATATACATTAGGTAGTTTTATTACCTTCAGTGACTAAGGGGAATAAAAGAGTAAAAAAAAAAAAAAAAAAAAACCCTTTGAACAATTGGCAATACTTGAAAGATATGTTTGTTGTATTTTGTTGTCTACCGAGTATGTAATAAGCATTATGTGAATGTTTGTGGATGAATAAATGGATAGATGTGTGAACAGGAGCTCAAATCCTCTGGAAAAGACGCATAGGACAAAAAGAAGAGCCTGACTCAGAAATTGTGATGGGGCTGGTGAGTGCCTGCCAACTGCCAAGGGGCTTGCTGGTTGTAACCATTCCAACAAATCACCAGGCACATGTACTGGTTTTCTGGCATGTGCTTTTAGGATCTTAGTATGAAGACATTGTTAAAAGTTACCAAATACCTGACTCCTTCCCCAAGACAATACAATCTGCTTCTCTGGGTGGCATAAACAACACTTTCAGAGAATATCAGTGGATGACTTTGGGATAATGAAATGTAGGACTTCAAAGCACAGAAAACATTTTCATTCATAATTTCTTTTTTCCCGTGAACATGTGGTACATGAAAAAAGAAGGAAATATGGGAGGTGAACAGCTGGTTATGCAGATGGTGTTGAATTGAATTTGGATTTCTGTATCACGACTTAAGTTTCTGGAATGCTAGGCTCTTGGCTAAGGGTAGAATTATTTCTCACAGGGACATGGAAGAATGTGTTTGCATGTAGGCTAGCAGTCATGATTAAAGTGTTTTAAATGGAACATAATATTGTAAAAGCGTATGAAGATTCAAAGCAACTTATCATTCACCCAGATTCTCTAGGACTCAGTTGAATAGTCTTCCAGCTTTCTTGTTTGATCCCCATAGCACCTTCCAGTTCCTAACTCAGATTTGTCTTCATAACTTCCTTCTCACTTGGGCCTTTTATTGGCCTTTTCCATGGTCAGCTTGTTGCATATCTCCCCAAATGACTCCTTCCTTTGCTTTTGCCTCCTCCTGTGTTTCCCAGAGATGCTATTTCATGTCTCTGTTACAGCCTGGGATGTTAACTCTTTGCTTACTTGTCTATATCCGTCACAAAGATGTGATTTTCCTGAGTAGGAAATTTTTGTATTATACATCTTTGTATTTTCAGGGTTTAGATGACTAACTCACCTGTTTCAAGGGTTCCATGAATATTTGTTGAATGATAAATGCAAAATTAAATGAAGCAGTAAATATTTTTTAGCTTAGTTGGGAAGAGTGGGCAGTGACCATTGACTGCAAGCTATTTAGAAGAACAAAATGTTACAAGTGGTTCTGGCTAGAGATCACAGAGCTCTCCTGTACAGCAAATTTGAGATTATCTATGCCTTAAGCTCTTTTCTAATGTAGTAAATGTAGTAAAACCAGATTTTAACATTAGATGATGTTAGTCAAAACAGAGTATTTAAGAATAATTTTTGTGTTTAGAGCTGAATTTTAAAAATTCTTTCACACGTATCACTGAAGTATTAAAACATTAACACTCTAAACACATAGAAGAATGATAAAAATTCAGGCCTATTAAAAATAACTACCTGGGAAAAGGAAAAAAAAACACACACACACAACAAAGTGTGCGAAAGGTATAGATTCTGAAACCACCGGACCTTTTTCAGTTGTACTTGTCATAAGTTATCAAAGAGTTTTTTTTATTTTCCAATACTTGTTAATTTTGTTACTCTTTAACAATTGATAGGAGACATGTTTAATTGGGA